ATAATAATAATAATAATAATAATAATAATAATAATAATAATAATAATAATAATAATAATAATAATAATAATAATAATAATAATAATAATAATAAAGTTGGAAGGGACCTTGGAGGTCATTGAGTCCAACCCCCTGCTCAGGCAGGAACCCTACACCATTTCAGACAAATGGCTGTCCAGTCTCTTCTTAAAAACTTCCAATGTTGGAGCATTCACCGCTTCTGGAGGCAGGTGGTTCCATTGGTTAATTGTTCTAACTGTCAGGAAGTTTCTCCTTAGTTCTAAGTTGCTTCTCTCCTTGATCAGTTTCCATCCATTGCTTCTTGTCCTGCCTTCAGGCGCTTTGGAGAATAGCTTGATTGCTTCTTCTTTGGGGCAGCCCCTGAGATATTGGAACACTGCTATCATGTCCCCCCTCATCCTTTTCTTCATTAAACTAGACATACCCAATTCCAGCAACTGTTTCTTATATGTTTTAGCCTCCAGTCCCCTAATCATCTTTGTTGCTCTTCTCTGTACTCTTTCTAGAGTCTCAGCATCTTTTTTACATCGTGGTGAGTAAAACTGGATGCAGTATTCCAAGTGTGGCCTTACTAAGGCATTGTAAAGTGGTATTAACACTTCATGTGATCTTGATTCTATCCCTCTGTTAATGCAGCCCAGTACTGTGTTGGCTTTTTTGGCAGCTGCAGCACACGGCTGGCTCATATTTAAGTGATTTTCCACTAGGACTCCGAGATCTCTCTCACAGTTACTACTATAACTGGAGAAGCTGGATTCGTTTAAAGACTGTGCAATTCATTTACAACTGCAGGGATACACTTAACAACTGTGGCAAAAAAGTTCATAAAATTGGGCGTGACTCACATATCAACAACCTTGCTTAGCAACGGAAATTCTGTTCCTAATTGTGGTTGTAAGTTGAGAACTATCTATATGTCCATCTGCCATTAGTTTGCCATTTGAAAAGGAGGAAGAAGGGGTTAAAGAATGCATGATAAATATGGTCAAGGGCAGGGGTAGGCAACCTTGGCTCTTTTATGACTCGTGGACTTCAACTCCCAGAATTCCTGAGCCAGCCATGCTGAGGGGAAAGGGAGAGGTTTCTATGCTGAGCCATGCTGGCTCAGGAATTCTGTGAGTTGAAGTCCACGAGTTATAAAAGAGCCAAGGTTGCCTACCCCTGGTCAAGGGCTACAAGATTTGTTTCTACAATTGGTCAATGCAACCCTTCGGGATAACGGGGAGGCTGAGAAGAACATCCTGAAGATCGTAGATGAGTACCAGGAAGCAACTTTGCTAGTTTTTCTTTTGATGAAATGCAACTGTAATACTCCACACACCACAGCAGGCATTTGGCAGGAATCTTGATTGATTAATTAATTGATGATTGAATTAGTTTGGTATAGTGATTAAGGTGCTGGCCTAGAAGAATCAAGATCACGTGAAGTGTTAATACCACTTTACAATGCCTTGGTAAGACCACACCTGGAATACTGCATCCAGTTTTGGTCACCGCGATGTAAAAAAGATGTTGAGACTCTAGAAAGAGTACAGAGAAGAGCAACAAAGATGATTAGGGGACTGGAGGCTAAAGCATATAAGGAACGGCTGCTGGAATTGAGTATGTCTAGTTTAATGAAGAGAAGAATGAGGGGGGACATGATAGCAGTGTTCCAATATCTCAGGGGCTGCCACAAAGAAGAAGGAGTCAAGCTATTTTCCAAGGTGCCTGAAGGCAGGACAAGAAGCAATGGATGGAAACTAATCAAGGAGAGAAGCAACCTGGAACTAAGGAGAAACTTCCTGACAGTTAGAACGATTAAGCAGTGGAACAACCTGCCTCCAGAAGCTGTGAATGCTCCAACACTGGAGGTTTTTAAGAAGAGACTGGACAGCCATTTGTCCGAAATGGTATAGGGTTTCCTGCCTGAGCAGGGGGTTGGACTAGATGACCTCCAAGGTCCCTTCCAACTTTACTATTATTATTATTAAACCAGGAGATGATGCGTTCTGGTCCCTCCTTAGATGTGAAAGCTAGCTGGTTAACGTGGCGCCAATCACCAGGAGACAGCGAGTTCTGGTCCCGCCTTAGACGTGAAAGCTAGCTGGGTAACTTGGGACCAATCACCAGGAGACGATAAGTTCTAGTCCCGCCTTAGACATGAAAGCTAGCTGGGTAACTTGGGGCCAATCACCAAGAGACAGTGAGTTCTGATCCCACCTTAGACATGAAAGCTGGCTGGGGGACTTTGGGCCAGTCACTCTCTCTCTCTGCTCAACGTATCTCATAGGAATGTTATTGTGAAGAAAATAGTAGAAAGAATAACAAAATAACAGAGTTGAAAGGGAACTTGGTGATCTTCTAATTCAACCCCCTGCTCAAGTAGGAGATCCTATCCCATTCCAGACAAATGGCTGTGTATTATGCATGTTGAATTACTTATAAAGTAACAAAGGCGGGATAAAAATCTGATATTTAAATAAATAAAACTCCAATACATGGTC